TCTTGAATGGAAAAACTGAGAAAAGCAGTGAACAAAATAGCCTATACGCCTCTCTCTCAAAGGTTCTCCACTTTGTCTCCGGTGCACCTCTCTCTGATCCCACTTCTCTCCTTGGCTTCCTATCTCTACGGGTTCGCTATCTCCCTCCGCCACCGCCTCTATCACCTCAACCTCCTCTCCGTGCATAGGTAAATTCTTGAATTTCCACAAATTTTCTGGATGTACTATAACATAGTGTTGAAGAAAGCACCTTCATTAGACTTTTTACTGTTTATTTCCCATTAGGCTTGCTGGAGTCTGTGGCCCCTTTTGACACTGAAAACCATTGGAAATCTTCAATTTTTTCATTTCCAGTTTCTTGATTTATTTGTGGGATTACATTTATTTTATAACGATGATTATTAATTTGGATATGCTGTTGATATGTATTACTGAATCGTAAGGTTGCCAGTGCCAGTGATTAGTGTTGGGAATTTGACTTGGGGAGGCAATGGAAAGACTCCAATGGTGGAGTTCGTTGCACGCTTGTTGGCCGATACAGGAATACCTCCTCTTATTCTTACAAGGGTAGTTCTGTTCTCTCTCTCTCTCTCCCTCCTTTCTTTCTTTCTGTTTTTTTGGGCAGTATGCAGGGGTTTCACGAAGTGATATCCTTTTAAATTGCTTTTAGCTATGTATAATTGGTGTTATGGAGTATTTTATCAATGTCAATTTAGATAGATGGAACCTTTTTTCTTCCTACTTGATTCTTTACTGTGTCTTGAGTTTCTAAGACATTGAAGACAACTAAGTGCAATTTTTAAAGATTCCTTATGCCTGTGTATCAAATGGCATTTCCGTATTCATTTGCAATTTTCTTGAAAAAGAAAAATGAGAAAGATTTCCTCTTTTTCAGGGCTATGGTGGTGCGGATGAAGCTAAAATGCTTCAGAGGCATTTGCGTGGGACATATGCTAAGATTGGTGTGGGTGCAAATCGAGCTGCCACGGCCCATAGCTTTCTTGAACAATATGGTTACATGAATCTTCGCAGCACTACGTGCTCTGAGAGGCTTCTGTCCCATGAAAAAGTGAAAAATCATTCTAATTCAGGTCATATTTGTGCTGCAATCCTAGATGATGGAATGCAGGTACTGGGCTCCATTTAGTTTCAGAAGATTGACGCCTACATTCATGTCCAACATCTCCTATATATGGCTTATGGCATGTTTATAGGGTGGATTAGAGAGCTATGGACAACATTAAGGAAGAAAAGAAGCTAAAATCTTGTTGATTATACTTAATACTAAACATGCACTTGGATTTTTCTGTCGAAATGATTAATTCCTTAACTAGTATTCCGTCACACTCTCTCTTGTTGGGGGGTGAATGGGGGTTTGAGGAGGAGGAGACTAGAACTTCCGCGGTTTTCTGCAATTTTGCTTATGAAATCCTGTTAAACACAGATTCTTTGTAATTTCTGTTATTTTCAAGTTTTCACTAATATATTGTATGTATCAGTATCACCTTTCTTAATTGTCTCTGCATATTTTTGAAGCTGACCTTCTCAGGTAGATCATTCATAAAAATTTAAATATCTAACATAAGGTGGGATTTGACTTACTCATGTTTGTGAACTCTTCATATTTGGAAGACAGCATCTAAGTTTATGGCGTGATCTAGAGATTATAATGGTGAATGCAATGATGCCGTGGGGAAATGGTCAATTACTTCCACTTGGACCACTAAGGGAACCTTTGACTGCACTCAACCGAGCAGATATCATTGTCATCCATCACGCAGACTTGGTATGAAAACTCTTACCCATCTAATTCTGTCTTTCATTCATTCCATTTCCCTTATGTTCATGGTATGTGTGATTGTAATATTTTTGTTGGCACGGCGACTAGTTAAATTCAGATATACCATGGATTCTAATATAAATGAGTCTTACAGGTAGCAAAACATGATATTGAAGCCCTTGAATCAACAATTCGAGAAGTTGAAAAGGTTCTTCCTGTATTCTTCACTAAAATGGCTCCGTCACACTTCTTGAAAGTTGGAAACACGTCAAGTAGAATTCCACTGAAGCTTGTCACTAATAAGATTGTATTATGTGTTTCTGGCATCGGATTTCCTGACTCCTTCATTCAGAGGATCGAGAAGGTACCCTTCTCGGTTTTCTTATATTAATTAAGTGTATTTGTGCAGCTATTTGACTATCTTGAGATAAAATTTGACACAAAAAATTGTTGGGTATTTTAAGCACCAAATTACTTTACAATTCTAATGGTGATTAACTCTTTGTAGATGGGACCAACAATTGTAGATCGGCTAGACTTCAGTGACCACCATTTATTTCAACTCGAGGTATCTTTGTCTCGATCATCATTTCTGTGGTATGAGGATATCAAGACTGAATTAATGTTCCATAAACCACGATTTAATTGCTTTTGTTTCGTACCTTCCACTTTCTTCAGTGTTCATTGATGTTCTATCCATTTGGAAGTGTCAAATAACTTTTTAAGTTTCCTATAAAACTAGGATATTGACATGATAAGAGCAAGACTGGAAGAACTCGAATCCAAGTTTGCTGCTAAACCAGTTGTCATTGTAACTGAAAAGGTGAGTGGATCCTTATTTCGTCAGAAGCATCAACTTAAACAGCCTCTGTATATCGTTCATGGCCTCTTTTGAAATATCTTTCCTGTATAAATTGTATGTACTCACCGAAAGGGGTGAGTTTAACTTTTTTCGTGGGTGGGGTATCTTGTTTATGCAATGAATTCATAACTGAACGGATTAATCTTTTGTCCTTTCAGGATTATGATCGAGCTCCAGACGTTCTTGAAAATTTGAAACCGTTTGATATTTTGGTACTTTGTTGTAACTTGCAAATTCTGGCTCATAAGGGAAGCACGGAAGATAGCTTCAAAATGATCATCAAGCAGCATCTAAGGCAAGATGATCGGGTGTAAGATATTTCTAAAGCTTCAATTTGCGTAGGTTTTTAGTACTTTCAATCCTTCCTTCTTCTGCTTCTACTTGTGCTTCAATGCCAACGTACTTCGGGATTTCATTATATTCTTATTGGTTACTAGAATCATTGTTTTATTTCTTTCAAGTTTGAACTTTGATGAGTAGGCAAGATTTTAAATATTTACACTGCTTTAGAATTCATTGTTACCATCTATATGATGCTTATCTTGTCTCATTTAAAATTTTTAATTCCATATTTGGATAGACAAGAATTTATTTAAGTTAAAAGGGTGCTTTTTACTGATACTGATACAGAGCCACTTCTCAGATGAAGAACCCAAACTACGAGAGGTCACCTCTTCGGAACCCATTACCTTAAGGCTTAAGTCGATTATCTTATTTAGAATAATGCCAGAATGAGACGTTGACACTTGCTTGTTATTGCTAGCATGAACATGAGGTAGGCTTCTTGAAAGTGCTAGTATTTGGTTATTGCCCATGCCTTTCTGTTTATAAAAATCGATTAATAATTCATCATGAGAAGGAGAAAGAAGGAGAATCCCCGAGCACTCTTCCTTCCATTTTAGTTATCCAACCATTATTTAAAATAGATGTCGATTTTAATAAAATTACGTTAATTAATAACACATACATACGTACGTACATACATACATATCGAAGGAAGTCGATATGAGAGCATGGTGTGGGAAGAAAAATTTATACAAACTTTTAGCGAAAAGCATAAATATATAATTTAAGAATTTGTTTCAAGAATTATTTAATTCTAATTAATATCATTTCATATTAAGGAATCATCTAATAATTTCTTAAAATTAATATCACATTATTGACGTGAAATTCTAGGCAGAAAAAGAAAAATAATTGTTGTTGTTTTCGCTTTATCTCATACGGCAATTGTCAAAAATAAATTCGTTTGCATAGCGTTAGTGTATACATGACTTGTAATAATGAATTCATTATAGTTTGTTCTTTGCCTTTGACTTTTATTGTGTGATAACCCAAAAAACTCGGAATATCATAAAACTTAAAAATGAGCCAATAATTCGCGTCCAATCACCTCACTAGACAATATGAGTCCAAATCAAATTTCCAATGAGTCCAAATTTGCAATATCAATATTGAAATTACAGTGATGTGTCAAAATTTGATCGGAGAGATTGAACGTTTTAAGAGAACTAAAATTAACACAAGCATTACTTCGAATCTTATAGTAGAATATTTAACAATGAATAATGCATGTAATTTCGACTTCAAATTTATTAAAGACGATACTTATTTATTATTTGTCTTAGATGGTTGTTTTTATCCTTATTTAGAAAAATAATTGTTGTTGTTTTTGCTTTATCTCATACGGTAATTGTCATAAATAAATTCGTTTGCATAGCTTTAGCGTATACATGACTTATAATAATGAATTCATTATAGTTTGTTCTTTGCCTTCGACTAGTATGCTAATATCGAATCAATATGAAGTTTACTCTTACTAGTAAAAAAAAAAATTATTTGAATATTTTATACTCTTTTGATTTTATTTCTTAGTGTGTCTACGTAATACATACAGGCATACACATTTTTAAGTCATGCTATTCCGAATTGACCCGATGAAGATTTTTATTCACTAAACTTAGTTTTGAAAATATTTGAAAAAATGATAGTCATGGAGCGTAAAACATCACAAAAATTTTGTAGATTAAATAAAGAAAAAATTAAGGTTGGACTCTTCAACTTTTTACGTGATATAGTTTTATATCCTCAATTTGTGTAAATTTTGGTTTTCGTGTGATAAAATCGTCAATGTGAACATTAAAATCAAGCACAATTTTCACTCGACTTGATGCTGGATGACAAAACTATCAGAACCCTTAAAAGCCTCCCCAATTCTCGAAAGTCGTGTTCCATTTTAACGTCTACACATATAATTTTAATCACGTAAAATTTTTGCCCGTGTCTAGTCCCCATTTTCTCAAAAATTCGTTTTTCGTAACTCATTTTAAGCCACACACTTTCTTATAAAATAATTTTACATGTAATTCGAAAATATTTTTATTACTTTTTAACTATTTATTCTCTAATAAAACACTATTCTAAAATACATTTTGCCAAAAAAAAGAAAAGAAAAGGGGGCTCAAACAAATACTTAAATTCACATATTCAAATAAGTTGAAGATCTAAAACCTATGGTCCAAAAAATCAACCAATAATTAATAAACAAAAAATTCCATTATAGTTTGTTCTTTGCCTTTGACTAATATTGTGTGGTAACCCAAAAAACTCGGAATAGCATAACTTAAAAATGAGCCAATAATTCATGTGTTAACAAAATAACATTAGGACTACGTCCAATCATCTCACTAGACAATATGAGTCCAAATCAAATTTCCAACGAGTCCAAATTTGCGATATCAATCTCGAAATTACAGTGATGTGTCAAAATTTGATCGAAAAGACTGAATGTGTTAAGAGAACTAAAATTAACATAAGCATTACTTCGAATCTTATAGTAGAATATTTAACAATGAATAATGCATGTAATTTCGACTTCAAATTTATTAAAGACGATACTTATTTATTATTTGTCTTAGATGGTTGTTTTTATCCTTTAATAAAATATATATGGGTGTGTTTGATGAATATTATCGAGAAAATAATGTATTTTAAATAATGATATGATGAAAAATATTATTTTATTGAAAAATGTGTGGTCGAAAATGAGTTTGGAAATAATGTATTTTAAATGAATGTGTAACAAATACGGCATAATATCCAAAACTCATTCACTTAGAATTTTGAAAACAAGATTGATTCCATGTGTGAATGTCACCTTCAAAGATGGCTAAATACAAGAAATAGCATACAAATCTGAAGAAGCTAAAACTGAATTCAATTAAGATTAAATCTGCTTATGCAAAAATAATTGATTAAATAACTTCTCACATTCCCTATAAAAGCCAAACAAATTCAATTATAGCATCAACTTTCTGAGATAGAGAGGGAAAATTAACCATAATCTCTTTCATGGCTAATTTTTCTCTCTTTTTCCTCGTCCTTTATTTCGCTAATTCTTATTCGAAAGCGCAGAGCGTGCCGGCAATGTACGTGTTTGGCGACTCCCTAGTCGACGTCGGCAACAACAAATACTTAGCCCTCTCCATTCTTCAAGCGGATTTCCCTCACAACGGGGTCGACTATCCAGGCAGAATAGCCACGGGAAGGTTTTCTAATGGCAAGAATTCTGCAGATTTCTTAGGTAACTCTTCATGCATTAAAGCCATGTCGACTGAATTACATGGAGATACAAGACTATAAACAAGATTTTAACTTTTTTTCCCTTCTTATTATCGTCTTGTTTGACAGCTGAGAAGTTGGGTTTATCGACTGCGCCGCCATATCTTTCGCAGCCTAACGATGTTTTCGTGAAAGGTGTAAACTTTGCCTCGGGAGGAGCCGGAATCTTCAACGCCACAAATGATGACGTTCTTGTAAATGAATCGAACACACGATTTTCATATCTCGAGGCAGTAAATGCAAAATCTAACTCGTTTTTTTTTTTAATTTCAGAAGCAAACAATTCCATTGCCATTCCAACTAGGGTATTTCTCTCTAGTGCATCAAAGGCTTGTGAAAAAACTGGGAACAGCCAATGCCCAAGAACACTTATCAAAATCATTATTTCCAATCATAATCGGGAGCAACGATATAATTAACTTCTCGAAATCCAGAAATACCCCTCAACAATTTGTTAATCTCATGGTTTCGTCCCTCAAAGAGGTGCTCAAGGTAACGTAAATTTGCCCCTGACGGAATTTCGTTATTCAGTACACGATTATTTAATAGTTCAATTTCGTTATTCAGTACACGATTATCCCCAATCCACATAGATTGGGGATTCATTCCCATTGGGGATGAATAGCATTTTTCTTATTTAATAGTTCAATTTTCACAACTTATTTTATGGATTCAGGGATTATATGGTCTAGGGGCACGTAAATTTTTGACCGTTGGGACAGCACCAATTGGCTGCGCCCCAAAGCAAAGATTTCGAAATCCAAGTAATGAATGCAATGAAGAGGTGAATTCCTTGTCCAAAAAGTACAACCAAGGACTCCAAACAATGTTGCAAGACTTGAAATCGGAGCATAAGGACTTGCACTACTCCTATCTCGATGCATATGGTATCATTACAAACTTTATCGACAATCCCTCAACTTATGGTACGTGTTTCGAGTACATTAGAAGACCGTTCATGAATTTTGTATTGTCTCGTTTTTCAGATTATGTTTATTTAATCTAAGAAATGGGTTTGTTTTTCCAGGTTTCAATGAGACTAAGGTTGCTTGTTGTGGATTAGGGAGATTGAGAGCTGCTGTTCCTTGCACGCCTGTTTCCTATTATTGTTCCAACAGAAGTAATTATATTTTTTGGGACATATATCATCCTACACAAGCTACTGCTCACACTTTAATTGATATTCTTTTCAATGGTTCACATGCAACTCCCATTACTGTCCAGCAGTTGATTGCTATATAAAATACATACAACAATATGTACACTACACTACACTACACACAAACTATATAAATTCATCGATTGTTCGAAATGTAATTAAATCTATATTTTCAGTATTTGTATACTTTTTTTGTTTGGTAAAATATATTTTATGGCTAGACTACCCAATTGTTGATGTGGCAGGAGAACTTTACTTACGATTCTCTCCAAATGTGAGAACCGTAAGTAAGGTTATCTCCAAGTGGGTAAAGTAAGATTTCCTGAACGTGAGAACATTTATGTATTTTACGGTATTACAAAAAGAAAAAGAAGTTAAAATCGATTATGTTAATTATAGTATTGTATACCAAATATGCACAATATGTTTCATCCACCACAATGAATGTATGGATGAAACTTGAAAATGGAAGAGGTCTGAAAAATATTGAGATTCCATTAATATTTTAATAATTTGTTAAAAATAAATCGATGAGTATACTGAAAGAAGAGAATATTGACAACTAGTGAAATTAACATTTTTTTTTATGTCAAAAGCGAATGTTTGCTACCAAACAATAAAAGACAAAATACCCCCAACAATTTGGAACGGGACTGATACAAGGTCATTGATACTAGTGTACACGCTTGGGGCAAAATAATCATGAACTCCTAATTTGATAGTCATTGTTGATCTCGAATTTCGATAGTAACACATGACAAACTGATTTCGATTTCACCTGCACATTTGGACAAAGCGTTGAAGCACGAGCATCTTCTCCGACAATGAGGAAGGCTGTCGTGGGAACACCAATGCTCAAGTCGGTCAATAATCAAAAGATATTATGGTTGTAGAAGGGAGAAAACCAGATAAACACATATGGATCCATGTGAAAGAGAAAATACCAAGCAATCTTATTGTTGAAGTGTAAAATTGCATTATTTTTGAAAGACACTAATTACGAGTTGTTATAGTGAAAGGAAAGAGGTGATGTTTGTTGGATGCATGACACATGACCTCATCCTAACGATTCACGAGCGAAACTTGATAGGTGTCAATCAATTGTCGTAGAGATTTGAGACGACCATAAATGAATTGAAAAGTGACCACTTTATGTTCTAGGTTTGCCACCTGAAAAGTAGATTGAAAAATTGACCGAAAGCGTCTGTTGCAAAGCTGTCAAATCTGTCAGATATACTGAAGATCTCGTGCGAAAGATTTGTAAACCGAAGTGATATCATAGAAGAAGCCTTGCGAAGCAAAGGCTTGTTGCTTTGAAACACACTACAACCAATTATGAGACCTTGCTCCGGACATGGGGGTTCGCCCCTTGTCATGTTGTTTCTGTTGAGGTTCTCAAATCACTTCAATCTGTACCTAATCGGTTCGGCTAGGCTTTGATCAATGAAGTGATGTAGAGTGTGGGTTTTAAGTGACTTCTTGTTGGTTTCTTAACTGACAACCATATGACTTGTCTCGACGAAAAAGTCATGTTTCCTATTTTATAAGCTGACTTGCTATTTGCTAACTCGTCTCATCTTCTAATTTCTTTTGCTCGGGTTGGCAACCTATATTTTATTTCTATTGCTCATTATTCGCATATTCCTAAATATAGATCATGCCCTGCTAAAGATATTAAACGCGTTAGTTAAACCCCAAAACGCGTGCGATGACCTCTGAAACGCGACTCTAACCGTAGTGTAATGTGGTCATTAAACATGGCTAATTTGAATTCGTGTCTGAATGCTTAACGTACGCACCGCCCGGAGCACAAAATGGAGACATCGTTTGTATCCAAAGCGAGGACAGCCTTCCATTCAGCTGCGGCTAAAGCGGAGAAAGTCTTAACGGACATTAAAAAATCTGATTTTATTACCCATCGAGGTACACTCGCTATAATTTCATTTACTATTTTTAGAATTCATTACAAAAATTCATCGGTGTTTTTTTTTCTATTTGATTTTGGAAATTGGTTGCAATTGTAGAGGATTTGGATAAACAATCGCCGATTGAATCAAGTCCGGAGTCTACGAAGGACGGGGATAAATCTAAGGTGATTAAATTTCTTTGAATTTGAATGGGATCACGTTGTTTGATTATGGTAAATGTAGAACGAGCTGTGTGGATTTTGATAGTTTTTTTTTGTATGAGGCGAGTTTCGTGTTTGAGATGATCAGAAAATTGAGAGATGAAAGTGGATTTAGAGTTTGACTTTGATCTCCAGTTGTATTCATGGAAGCGGATTTAAAGTTTGACTTTGATGTCGACTTGCAATGATGCCAGTTTTGTCAGATTTTAGGTTCGGTTTTCGAAGTTATTGATATTTGACAGCAGAAAAATTATAATGCATATTTCAGTTTGGTTTCCTTGCGTCCTGTTCTTTTTTATGGTTTTCTTATTACATTTTTGTGCACGGTACACAGAGTCTTAGTTGCACTGCACAGGTTTAGAAGTATATCTATTGGCAATTCATGTCAATTTTAAATGAATAGTGCTATTTGTAAGATGGACAAACGTGTGTATGACAGTGGGGTCATCCTCTCATTCTTCAATGAATTAAAATGCATCCCAACTTTTTAGGAGATGGCAATGACCCAACAGCCACATGGACTGCTGGACTGCAGTGCTAATAAATAACATTACTCCTTTTCAATTGCTTCGGGTAAAATGTTGCACTTTTCGTGCATTCGGGTAATGCATTGCTTTGAATAAATAATGTAATTTGATGGTGCAGAGTTGTCAGGAAGTGACGAATCAGAGGAGCAGGCCAGCACCAATAAAGACAAAACAGGACTGGCACGAGAGGTTGAGGAACATAAGAATAGGGAAAAAGGGAGCTGAGGATACTGAAAAGACTGAAAATTCCACAATGGCATATGCAATCTTTGATGAAAATTTATACTTCATGAGAGAGAGAGAAATCTCTGATTCTGAGGTATTTGTTTCCAAATACTTTACTATCATATAAGCACATGTTTGATTTCTGTTTTCACTCTACCATACTGTAGAGGGGGAAGTGGAATGTAATTTTTGTTATTCATTCTGCCATTCCATTAATGGAGATTGCAAAAAGTTATAATGTTGCCAATTCCCAAAACATGTGTTATTTGGATTCTGAAAAACTGACTACTGTATCAGTGGCATGTGGATAATAGGATGCATTTATTTGGAATGTGAGATTTCCTATTTATTCAATTTACACAAACGCTTAAGAAGCCGAATATGATATCAACATAAATATTTACTGGTTGAAATGTGAGGATAATTTTCATGGCATTGTTGGCTATGATTTTTTTTTTTTTTTTTTGAGATTACAGCATTCAGAGTTATTCTGTTAATAACAATGACCTTTTCAACTGTATCTAACTGTTTGAAAAGTCATAATTATAAATAAACTGGAAAATATTTATAATTTTTATTATTCAGCTGAAATAATAGAGTTTCTCTGACATAATTTATTGCAATTGTTTGATATCTTACAGGATTCGAAAGCTGGAGTTGCATCAGAAGGTTCAAATGCCGTAAACTCTGATATCATTCCATCATCAGCTGTCGTGAGACAATTGGCTGTGGCTATCGAGTTAGATCTTGTCATTGACGTTTGAAACTTCTTCGATTTTTATTTTGTTTTTCTGATTATTTACTTGCACAATTTTCTGGGCTAGAATCATTGAGTTTTATTGTCTCAAACTTACTGATTGTTTGCTTTCCTACTTCGTTGGATTGTATTTAGAACTAGTTAACTCATCTTTGTTTATGTGATATTATATGGAAAAACATTTGGTTTGTAGAAGTTAAAGCTTCATATATTATGAAATAATTTTTTAAGAGAATCATTCCCTCTCCAACTTTCCGGAGTAATTGATATGCTAAATCTATTTATTCTTATTTCATCAAATTGTTGCCAATGTATTGAAATTCTTACATGTTCATGAAGAATGTTTGGAAGTGGTTATAGTACTTAGTTTTCCTTTGGCGCCTTTTCAGTGCTGGATTAGTGTACAACTCCATGAAGGATCTCCTTGCTTCTTCCAGAGGCTCTTCACCAATCAGAGAGAGAGCTAGCTTAAGCTTCTCAGCAATGAAGTCACTAGTATTACGTGAAAAGGAAGATAGGATAGCCAGTGAGTTTGGTGCTGATGAGAGAGTTCTCTCTCTGATCAATTCCCTGCTAAATGCAGGTAGATAGTCAGGATACTCTGGAGAGCATCTTCTTTCTTTGTGTCTAGTCTTCTGAAAATTCTGATTCACTATTTTGAGTTTTGCATTGTTGTATGATGATATTCACTTCCAGTTTAATATCTGCAAGATATTCGCAGGACTTTTTTCAGGGAGGACTTGCTCTAGTTTGGAAGAAGACATGAATACAACATCATTAATTAAGGATATTCATGGTGCTCCTGTTGAAGGTTTTGTTGTTAAGCTTGCTGAAGCCGTTGGTTGTCTAAAAACCCTGCAGAAAATGGCTTCATTTTGGTGCAGAGTTGTTGCCGAAGTAAGCGGATTCCAAGGAATTTAAAATTTTGAGATCAAATCTGTTGCTACATTTTCTACTCCTTGAGTTGGTTTCTCTTGCTTGCATATGGCACACTTGAATACTTGATTAGACAGTCTACCTAATTGACAAAATACATCATTGTGCAAACCATATTTCTGTTTTGCTTTCTTTCCTACTAAAGTTTTCAAAGCACGTCGTGTGTCATCGTACACTGAAAACTGAAGTGGCCAAGGGCACAATCCTTCCTACTGAATTATTCTTAAAGTTATGCTTCTTTTTAGAGTAGGATATATGTGTATCTGGTATGAGAATTTTTTTGAAGAGGTTTATTTCCTCTTTTAGGAATTATGACAGATCAATAAAAAAAATTCAAGGATTAGAATGCATGAGAGAGTATACATAACAAGTGTCCGTTGGCTGGATGGAATGAAAATGTGATGGCTAACTAAGCCATTTTCAGCGTACAAGTCAAAGGTTACTTGCCTACTCTGTCATCCTAGCATTCTGAGGATCTAATTATAGTATGATCCTTTTCCAATACAAATC